AAAGCACAATTAAACCAATAAAACGTTCGCCTAGCGCGTTTACGGTTAATGATCCCAAGATTGTTTTGCTTTTAAAGTACATGTCCAACAGCGATGGGCCAAGGTGACATGGGTATGCCATAAAACAAAAAATAGCGGTCTATTTGAGTTCAGCGAGCATATAGGTCTTTATGTTATAACTTTTAGAGATGAATCACAGCAAGCGCACGTTCCAAAGATCTGTTGTCATTTTGGATAAACGACCAAGAAGCATGCCAAACAAATCTGAGGTGAGCAGGCTCACCACCACCAGGCAAATTGCTCACATATCCTCTACAAAGAACCACAACTCATCGCAAATCGGCGAATTTCTGGTAAGAACATCTATGCCCCTGGCAGGAAAAGACCAAAGCAGGTAAGTGCTGCTGCCCACATAATCTGTCTCAAAAGCTAGTGAAATGGATGGTAAATTTTGTAAAAGATGAAGATAACAACTACCTAAGTTTGGATATTCTCATTTGCCCTTTGCTGGATAATGCATGAATATTAAAGGGAGAAGTTTCGTGTTAATCACTTCAGGGAGTTAAAGCGTTAAATAAAGCTCAAGTATATATATCTTAAATAATGATTTGCTGTTTGAAACAGGATACTTAGTACTGACTTAAACTAATGTTGATGTAATGATTGTGAAATATCAGCCCAGAAATCGAGTGCCACATTCTGTCTACACTGATGAGTAAGTTTGTTTATCTTTTGTCTGAAAGATCTTTACAGCCAATACGCTTACGTATGATCAAGATGTATCCATAAGATAAGAGGACAGTCTTAGTCACTCTCACGGCACAAAAACCCTGATTCACCATTAATTTTCCAAAATGGTGAAAGACTGAAAAATTCAACATTACGACAACGTTTTCTGATCATTTGAGCCGTTCGGGTCATTTGAGGCAATTAAGCTTATTTGGTCATTGAAACAGTTGGGTCACTAGAACCAAATAGGTCCTTTGAGGCAACTCAATCATCTTAGCTGGTTGGGTCATTTGAGGCAGTTGGGTCATTGGAACTGATTAGGTCATTTAAAGCACTTCCGTCTTTTGAGTTTGTTGGGTCATTTGAGGCAGGTGGGTCACTGGAACTGATTGATTCATTTGAGACAATTCAGTCATCTGAGCTGATTGGGTTATTTGAGGCAGTTGGTCCACTGGAACTGATCAGGTCATTTGAAGCAGTTGGGCCACTGGAACCCATTGGGTCATTTGAGGAGATTCAGTAATTCAGTCATTTGAGCTGGTTGGGTCATTTGAGGCAGTTGGATCATTGGAACTGATTGGGTCATTTGAGCTGGTTGGGCCATATGAGGCTATTGGTTCACCAGAACTGATTAGCTCATTTGAGGCAGTTGAGCCACTAGAACTGATTGGGTCATTTGAGGCAATTCATTCGCTTAAGCTGGTTGAGTCATTTGAGGAGCTAGGTCACCGGAACCAATTGGGTCATTTGAAGCAATTCAGTCATTGGAGCTGATTGGGTCATTTGTAGCAGTAGGGCAACTTGAACCAATTGAGTCTAATGGGGCTAATGCCCCATTCATTGGGTTGACTGAATAAGTGCCGCACTCCTTCACAACAGTGTGGTGCTAATGTAAGCAGTATTACACTGAATTGTTTAAGGAGTCAAACTAAAACAAATAAGTATGTTACAACTTAATCTGAACCACCCTCAAAAATTATTCTCATAGGTCACAATTGGAATGTCCATTAGTTTGAAATGGTTAAATTTCATTTTATTAGTTACAAATGTTAGTTATCTCTGATTGGGTCATTTGAGGCAATTCAGTCATTTGAGCTGATTGGGTCATATGAGGAAATTGGTTCTCTGAAACTGATTAGCTCATTTGAGGCAGCTGGGTCATTAGAACCGATTGGGTCATGCATTTGGGACATGCAATTCAGTCGTCTGAGCTGGTTGAGTCATTTTAGGCATTCAGGTCACTGAAACCGATTGAGTCATTTGACGCAATTCAGTCAGTTGAGCTGATTGAGTCATTTGAGGCAGTTTGGTCACTGGAACTAATCAGCTCATTTGAGGCAGTTGGGCCACTGGAACCAATTGGGTCATTTGAGGCCAAACGGTCATCCAAGCTGGTTGGGTCATTTGGGGCATTTGGGTCACTGGAGCCCATTGGGTCATTTGAAGTAAATCAGTCATCTGACCTAGTTGGGTCATCTGAGGCATTCAGTCATTTGAGTAAGTTGTGTCACTGGAACTGATTAGCTCATTTGAGGCAGTTGGGCCACTGGAACCAATTGGGTCATTTGAGGCCATACAGTCATCCGAGCTGGTTGGGTCATTTGGGGCAGATGGTCCACTGGAACTGATTAGGTCATTTGGAGCAGTTAGGTCACTGGAACCCATTGGGTCATTTGAGGAAATTCAGTAATTCAGTCATTTGAGTTGGTTGGATCATTTGAGGCAGTTGGATCATTGGAACTGATTGGGTCATTTGAACTGGTTGGGTCATGTGAGGCAATTGGGTCACCGGAACTGATTAGCTCATTTGAGGCAGTTGAGCCATTAGAACCGATTGGGTCATGCAATAGGGACCTTTAGATCCGACTCCGAGTACGACTACGAGTACGAGATTTGACCGCGCGGGGCCTGGAATTACCAAAGTTGTACTCGTTGCTGGCTGTCGTGATTTGCAACATTTAGAATGTAAACAAGGATCGGAAACAACGCGTTTTCAACTTCACTGCTTTCATTTGCAAAAAAAGTCTTGGCAGCTGCGATTATGCTTTTTAATGATGAAATACTCGATGAAGATGAGATGTTTTGCGTGTTTTCCAAGCTGAACAGGAAAAATCCACCCTTTCCGTACTGGAACTACGATCGTATCGAGAAGCAAATGGACGACATGTCATCTGCAGAAATAAAATCCGAGTTTAGATTTGGTCACTCAGAACTCCCTCTCCTGGCGGAGGCACTACAAATACCACAGTACTTCGTCTGCAGTAATGGGACTGTTGCTTCTGGAATGGAAGGGCTGCTCATGTTGCTGAAGCACTTCGCATATCCGTGTTGCTTGAGCGACATGATACCAAGATTTGGACACTCAGTTCCAGAAATCAGTTTGATTTTGGCTGAGGTTACAGACCACGTCTACCGTACCAATGGCCAACTACTGCAAGACTTGAACCAGCCTTGATTAGAGCCACAGCAACTCGAGAGTTTTGCCTGTGCTATTAGAGACTTTAAGAACTGAGAACGCGGTGGTCTGGAAAACGTGAGGACCGAGAGTGGGGCTGGGGGGAGCGCGGGAAATATGTAGTGAAGATCAACAACACGATCATTTAGACTAATAGTTATGGTCTGGAAAACAGTGAAAATGCTTTTCGCCTTTCCCTATAAGAATGACTCAAAACTCATTTAAGACTTTACAGGAAGCTTTGCTCCTTCGCCACTGGGATTATGAAAAATTTTCCCTCGAAAACAAAGACACCGCAGAGTGTAAGGCAGACTTCAGATTTGAAAAGAGTGACATCTCATTGTTGGTGGATGTTTTACAGATGCCTGATACCTTCACATGCCCGAATGGTACCGTTTGTGATTCAACAGAAGGACTTTGTGTTATACTAAAGCGTTTTAGCTATCCATGTAGGTTGTCTGATATGATTTCTACTTTTGGTCGATCAGTACCCGAGCTCAGCATGATTAGCAATGAAGTTACTGAATGGATGTACAATGCTCATGGCCACAGGATTACCGAATGGAATCATTTCATTATGTCTCCTAACCTACTGCAAACTTACTCTGTAGCAATTCATGACAAAGGTGCCGCCTTGGACAACTGTTTCGGCTTTGTTGATGGAACAGTTCGTCCCATATCAAAACCAGGTGTCAATCAAAGAGCTGTTTATAATGGCCACAAGCGTGTTCACGCTCTTAAATTTCAATCCTTGGCCCTACCAAATGGATTGATTGGCAATCTGTTTGGACCAGTAGGTAACGGTATATTCATTCATTGTTTATAGTGGGATAGTGCCGTAGCTGTTTTCACTTGGATAGACATTTTTATCACTTATGTGAAGTTAAAAGTTAGATTGATTTCTTTTCTCAAAAGGTTAAGCTAACGTTTCTTGATGACTTCCTCCCGGTCTCTCAAATCAGAGGTATTTTCAGTAGCTCCCACTCCCAATTTTTATTAGAGGAACTAGTTTTCCTGTCACCACAGACCAATAAATTCTAAACTCTGACTTACAGGCCATAAGTACCTGGACTGCAAGAATAATAGCCAGCCAATCCTATGTTGTTTTTGGCCTACTCACTTACTAAGCTAATCAATGGTCTACATAGGTAACAGTTTGTCAGCCAGCCAATGTGTAACTGATTGTGGTTCAAAAATTTTTTTTTTGCCCTTGTTCAGAGGGACGAATGCATGATGCAAGAATGCTGGACACATCTGGCCTTTATGTTGACCTGGCACAGTTCGCCTTTTCTCCTGCTGGACAAAAGATGTGTATCTACGGGGATCTGGCATATCCTCTACGTACCCATCTGCAGTGCCCCTTCAGACATGGGGTGTTAACAAGACAAATGGAAGAGTTTAATGCATCTATGAGTTCGGTATGCACAAGTGTGGAATGGTTGTTTGGAGACCTTATAAATTATTTCAAGTTTCTCGACTACAAAAAAAATCTCAAAATTCGCCTTAGTCATGTAGGACATTGTTTGTGCTCTTTTGCGGAATGCTTTAACATGTCTTTACCGCAATACGACTGCTGACTACTTTGGCCTTGATCCACCACCACTAATCGATTACTTTAGCTAAAATACTGTAACAAAAACACCTGTCAATGCCTAAGTTTGCATAAAATCTTGCATAAAATCCTGATTGAACAGTCTGTGGGAATGTTACGACAAGCAGATCTAAACAAAGGGGTGGCAAATAACACTTTGATTTCAACATTTTGTGAAAATGTAAATCTTAAACATGTAAACATCGAGAAATAAAAATTTAATGTCTACTTGTTTAGCATTTTACTCATGACGCCCATGACCCGCTGCATTATGAGCATTTGTTGCTGCTGGAATTGTTGCTGTTGCTGTTGATTTTGCAGTTGTTGCTGCTGGAACTGTTGCTGTTGTTCATGAGGGGACGCAAATCGTCTGCACTGTAAGTACACATCAAGCTCTGTAGGTGATTCAATCCCATTTTAATCCCATCCGATCTCACAATTTACGAAAACTTCATTATTCTTGTGAAAAATGATAGCCGTCTTATTGAAACTTGATGACAAGTATAAGCCGGCAAAGAAAACAGTGCAAAAGCAATTATCTGTCACATCGATGTCAGCAGCAACAGGATTATGACACCTTACAGTCCCCATACATTTTCTTAGACTAAAAGTCTAAGAAAATGTAGGGGACTCTCCGGGATACTTACAGTACAGACGATTTGCGTCCCCTCATGCTGGAACTGTTGCTGTTGTTGCTGATTTTGCAGTTGTTGCTGGTGCATTAGCTTCAGCATATCAGCCTGTTGTTGTTGCACTTGAAGTTGTTGTTCCTGTCTTCCCTTTTCCAGCTCAAGTTCCTTTTCTCTAATTTCTGCAGACTTCTGTGCTCTTTCCTTTAGAAACTCCATGGCATCTCCAGTTTTTCTTCTTGTTCGTTTTGGTTTGTCCTCACCCTCTTTGGCTCCCTCTGAAGCCCTTTTTTTGCTTTGGGAAAGCCTTTCCATTGCTTTCATTCTTGCATCTTCTGCTTTACCTTTGTCAGCTTTATCCTTACTACATGTATCTGTGGGAGAACTCTCTTCAAGTGCAATAATTTGCTGTATTAGGTCATCTAATTCACTTGGCTCATCTGGGGATATTCCTGATGCTCTTTCTTCAGCTCTGATTTTTTTCTTGTACTTGTTTACCAAGACATTAATGTGGTCCCGGATGGCTCTGTGGTCAACATTAAATTGTGGGGAATCACATTTGTTTAGAACATCTACAATTTTCTTCCAAGTTTCACTGCGCTGGGGAGTCCCCTTTTTGTATACATAGGGATTTTGAAACACTATTTCTCTGCACAGTATAATATTGTGCTGTTCAGTCCAGTACAT